AAGGCATATGTACAAAATCATTGGTAAAGTTACTTATTTTATTTGGGCCGGGGGTCGACAGAGAATGTAAACAGTAATGACGAGAATAAGGAATAGAACACCCACGGTAGGCAGGACAAGCTTGAAAACTTTCTCATTAATTGTTTCCTTGTCTCTCCTCTTCTCCAATTTGTCCTTTTTGGTTTCTTTAGTTGTGCCACCTCTCAACTTCCTCATCTCGTCAGCCACGTCAAATAACTGTGACCCTATCGTCAAAATCTGGCAAAGGTTAAAAAATGTAAATGATGGATTTAAACCATAAGCTTGTTAAATTAGTAAAGATTAATATATCGATATATACTTAATTGAACTTTGTTTAACCTTTTATTTTGTATTCATGACTATTTCAAAGGTCAATAAAATTCGTTTTGACTACCATTTTTCAAGACAATTTTAATCTTAGTTAAAATTTCTGCAGTACCATTGATCAAACTTGTCCATATTCACATATTGTGTATAATGTTAGATTGTATTTGTGTTATTTATATTAATAAATTTTATGAAAAATATTAACTTTTGGTGAATATGGCATTCTGAAGCAACTTACAAGATTTTTTAAATAAAGGAAATTACGTCAAAGCGGAAAAATGAATTATAGTTTGTAAAATTTTAGAAAATTCGCCTATTTCGTTGCTTCGTTTATAGCGTAGCAGAAAAAACGCTAAAAATTCCCTCATTAGTATTTTTCGGTGATCGTGGCATAAAACAATCATATATTTAACTATAAATCGTAACTTTCTTCAATTAGTGGCTGTCACTTTGCAATGACAACTGTTTTGAACATAAATAATGTGAATTGATTGATGTTAAAGCCTTACAAACTGATGAAAAATGGAACTCCTCTCAAAATTATTTGTTCAAATCTTTATAATTTGTAGAGGAAATTAATGGTTTACTAAAATAATGAGCCCATAATTTTTGATCGGATCTATTTTTTAATTCGCTTCAAGTAGATTCTCCTGAAACAACAAATGAAAACCGTCAAAATGCTCAGTTATTCACCATCGAGTAATCACAAAACTTATAAATGAAACTTAGTTTTTCATAATTATTAATCATCAATTAGCTTATTTGTGTTTGAGTAATGTAGTCTTGTTTATGATTGAGGAATTTTTTCAATTTTTGATCATTTTATTTATTTTTTTCATTTTTATTATGGTCCGTGACTAATTTTAAGATTTTCGGACAAATTTTGAGTTGAATTTTTCTGTTTTGCAAATTCTGTTTCGACGTCTGAAAATTTTTCATTGTCATGAAGGACAATTCGTCTTCATTTTACTTAGTCATTTTGAACTGGGATCATACGAATATTTGCTTTCAGACGTTAATGCTGAATCGGACTTAACATTGTACAATTCTGCCTCGAGGAAATTAGACTCGTAGTTCTACTGCTTTTACACTTTCTAACTTTCAAAAACCTTATTTATGCCTTTTACTTTTCTCCCATTTTGAATTCGGAATATTTATTGACTGCCACAATTTGTTAGTGCTGGAAAACTTATATCTTTCTTTTGGGTGTGAGGTAGACTTATCTCAATACGGTATACCCCGGACAACGTATTCTCATACGGTAAAAGACTATAGACCGGCTGTCGACCAATTTGTGCAAAAAAGAAATCAATATATTTGCTGGGATCTAATGCCCAGGTTTGCCGCTGAGTTATTGAAAAACCACATTAAAAAACGCCAATTTTAAAGATTCTTCTCAAATTTTCTAACGGTATCTTAAATGCAAGAAATCATTCAGATTTAGCTAAATATATTATTATTATTGGGCATGATTGAAAGCGCCAAAATGCTCTCAATTTTTTTATCGTCTATTTAATTTTCATATTATGAACTTATTACATGTCTTTGAAAAGTATCTCTGATATATTTTCAACATGATTTAGTTAATATACTCCATCTCATGTTCGCGTAGGTTAAAATGCCATCGGGTGACCTTGCTGTCTTTAAGGAATTGCTTTCTAAGGCACGACATGTAGGACAATATAGAATAAAAATTATTTTAAGTTATTTGTAATAACGGGTGCAGGTATTAGTGCTGAGAGTGGAATTCCCACTTTTCGTGGTGTAGGTGGATATTGGCGCAACTATTCCGCAACAGTAAAGATTTAATTCCATTAACTTCCAAGGATTTAGCCACTCCTGAAGCTTTTCGGGATAATCCAAGCTTAGTTTGGGAATTTTACCACTACCGCCGGGTTCTAGTATCTTCTAAGACACCAAATTCTGGGCATTATGCGCTCATGGAACTGGAAAATCTGCTCACATCCGCTAATCGTAATTTCACTTTGGCAACTCAAAACGTTGATGGATTTCATTCATCAATTGGAAGCAAAAACATTATTGAGCTTCACGGTACGTGTTGCTTGTTCGTTCGTCTCACTTGATTTGATATTGCTTCGCGTATTCAACGTTTTCATTCCCGCTTTATCTATTAATGCTAGTAAATCGGTAAAGTGCTTACTTGCTGAGCAAATGTTAGGATAATAAAGTAAAACCCCTTTCATTGGTAGGAAGTATAGTACGGAGTAAGGCCTTGGAGTTTTGAAAGTAATTTGATACTGAATCTACGGTTGATAGTATTAAATTGGTACGCGAAACTCAGGAATTTGAGCTTTGAAAAAAAGGAGTTCTTTGTTAAATAATGTTGAAATTTTTGTCGCTTTGCCTTTAAGCACTCTCTTGAGCATCTGGAAGTGTTCAGCTAAAGCTCAACTATGAAGATGCCTGTTTGTATTGCAGTTATTGGTTCTGTAGCGTGTTAAAGTGTGTATGTCCTTACCTTCGTGATACTGGATCTAATTTCATACTCTATTTTTTATGAAAATCGGCCTATGCTCGAAGTTACCGATTTCAAAGAATGTGGTGGTGGTATCAACCATCTCATTAGACTTGCCCAGCTGCTAGTCTGCGTAAGCGTAACAAAGTGCCTAGTTTGAGTATATTTACGCATTCACCAATAATACTGTTAGTGTATTTGGAATATGCTCTAATTATTGAATAGTTAATAGCTCCAGAACTCTAATAGTTCAAGTGAGCTATTTTAAATTTTTGTTCCTTTGAAGTATTTAGAAATAAGTCGAATTTGTTTCATCATACCTCACTTTATAAGTAAGTTCGCATATTTGTTGATTTATAGTGCATTCAAATTCAGTGCATTTGCTTTATTTGAATATTTCTTCCCATTTTCCTTAATTTCCGTTTATCTTTCAGGGAATCTCTTCAAAGTCCGTTGTACAAAGTGTGGAAAGGTGGCAGAAAATCATGCAAATCCAATTTGTCCAGCATTGGCGGGTCGTGGGTATGCTTACTTGAATGCACTTAATCGCAATAATTTCGTCAATAGGAAGTCTGCATGGTTTCTTGATTGCTGTTACTTGCAATACCCTAAGTGATAAATTGGTAAATTTTTTTCCATGCTTAATTGCCAAGTAGTGGATAAATAGAGACAACTAAGAGTCACACACCCTCTTCCTCTCAATTTAAGCAATACATAGAGATAATGAGCAACACAGTGACAACAAAGGCATGTCAGAGTCGTCTTTCCGTTTGCATTGAACCTGAAATTGTAATTGAATTAATGTGTTGCTAATTACATAGGGATATCCTCATCCACCTACCCACCCACTTCATTTCATTTTGTCATTCACATCACTAATCCTCTGTTGATCTATTTCTAATTTTTATCTCCCTATTTTATGTCCCAAACTCGTGCCAACTCACATTGCAAAATTGCGCCATATTGCCACAAATTCACGTGATTTCTGTTGCTTCTGTTTCGTCATTTCGCGCTTGATTGCACTTTATGATTTTATTGTTACTGTATTATTTAACTCTGACTGACTCCATTCAGTTTGGCTGGGTCCTCTGTTGATGCTAATGGAAGGCCACTTTTAATTTCTAGCGAAAACAATCGAAAGTCTTGGTAGTCCTGAATCGAATTAACAAGATTCTTACTGAATTTCCTGCTTATTGGTGGAGCACTTTGAAATAAAGACACCTTATTGTCATGCCACTAGCAGACCACTTTTTTGTCATTTATTCTGTCCCCAATTTGTGCTTAAACGGTGTTTTCTTAGTGGAGCCACAAACAGATGCCCTGGTTTGAATTACAGGCTTTTTATGTAGCAGCTATCAATTCAATTTCCATGCCATCACAATTAACAGTTATCAATTTTAATCTCTTTCCATTCCGACAGCTATTGAGAGAAAGGGACTCTAGGGCAATTTTGTCAATGCTTCTCTTTTTTTACAAAATTTTATTTTAATAAACCATTTGTATGTCCTTGTTGAATCAGTTAGATAATAATTTCATGGTTCAAATTCACACTCTTTGTAATCTCTATATCAAGGCATTTACATAAAATTGAAAAAAATCTCTGAGGAGTTTAAGTAATCGACTGAGCAACTTCACAGACTATATAAGTACTCACTATTGGTGCTCCCCCCCCCCTCAAACTCTTATTTAAACGATTGTCTTAGAGGAGAGCGAATTCTGTGCGGCGTCTCAAAGAATGCACCCTCTTAGAAATGTTAGCCTTTGTCTTTAGGCCAACAATAATTTTCACTTTACAGAGCACAGCTTTTGCCCATTCATTTGCTAGTTACTTGTTTTCTGTGTATCTTGGGGGGGGGGGGGGGGG